CACACGTGTTCAGCCCTCTAGTGGCAGAGATGTAATATCAGTCAACATGGTTAAAGAAGGATATCTGGTAGCACTTTATGCAGCTTTCTCTCTTACATTCACGCAAAAAATGAAACTATGCACACAATTCTGAAAGCTTGAAGCCTCAATATCAACTACTGGACTCCAGACTGCTAAACTCTAAGCACAATTTCACTGTTTTAACTAAACTAAATCACATCTTTGCAAAACTCTAAGCACAAATCCCAAAATACTGGCCTTCAAAATGCTATACCTTTATGACCAGTTGCTCTTGCTCATGTCTCACCTGTTCAAATTCAAGTGGCAAAACAGTCCAGTCATGTGTCAGAGTGTAAAAGAGGCCTCAAGTGATTTCTGCTGTGTTCAGTAAAAATGGAGCAGCATGAAGAACAAAGAGGAAGAACTATGAAAAAACATTTCTTTTGCAGTTGGCTGAACATTTTACTATATTACACTAACAGATAAATGTTTGCTTTGTTAGTGTATGTGTGTGTTCTAACTATAAGTTTACAGTTTGACACTGAGTTTAGCCCTGTTGGAGCTCATTGGATAGACAAATGTGCACATGCTGATACGACAAGTGCATTTATTCAATGTTAAGTTGGTATATTCACAGTCATGACAACATGGCAACAGCCTTTACATTGTATATTCCCCTAAAAATGCCTATTTTGAGACAGAAACCCTAAACTTTAGGGAGCAAAAGGAAATATCTTCTACGCACTTTCATACATTTAGTTAAGTTTTGATTTCTAGCTGGACCCCAAAGCAGAGACAGACGCAGGTGTATGAAAGCAAAAGAGTTTATTGCCGAAGGAAAAACAAAAATGCAGACAGTGGAGGCAGGGCGCTGGCTGGCTAGGAGGTTGTCCACCAGTGGAAAACAGGCAAAAGTGAGCACGAAAAGCATGAGGCACAAAAAACCTCCGTCAGAAAACACAAGGAAGCAAGACTGGAAAAGAGTACACTTGTCATACCAACACAGACAGAACTATCTGGCAGTGTAGTGGAGTGAAGACCAGGTATATGTAGGCAGGTTGATGAGCTGAGTAGAAACAGGTGTGTCTCGTCAGCTGCAGTGGAAACCGCCAGCCACGCCCCCTGCCACACACAAGTCTGGCAGAAACAAGAAACAGAAAGAGAGAACACACAGAAATACACCCAAAAACCAAAACTAAATCAGAATCATCACACATTTGAATATGTTACGTGGCCTCTCGATTCCAAATCATATATTAACAGTATTTTGTTGCTAGTGTTTTAGGATGTTCTCACATTTGGTCCTTTTCAGCCCTATAAGTGAACTCAGAGCGGTGTCTCAGCATTTTTTCTCTTTTTCTTTCTCTTTTCTCTTGGAGTGTTCATATGTGAACACTCCAAGAGAACTCAGACCCCTCTGAAGCAAACCATACTCACCTCAGGTGGGGGTCTGAGCACAGTTCAGTTAACCTGTGCACTGTGATCATAAAGTGCTCCAGGTTCGATTTGCTATGCCATTATATTTAGCCCTCTAGATCACATGCTGTTGCACTGAGACGCTTGAAAAATCAGACGAAACCATGTCGGCATGTAACACTTGCAAGGACGCAGGATGAGGAGTAGTTTGGTCCATGGAAGATACTGCACGTCTCTGGATGTTGAATGTAAAATACATCAAACAGCAACAGGCTACAGCACAGAAACACAAAGGTTGTCCTCCAATTTTAAGTTCATCTGAAAGCGAGCGGCTTCATAACCCCACTGCAGTGCTATGTCAAAGTAAAAAAATAAACTACATCAATATATATGATATATAGGCTATAGTGTGATCAGAAAGAGGACTGAGGCCCCATCAGAGCTGAAGTTGACCAGAAAGAGATCTGAGTCCTCTTTCAAGTGAACTGACAATGTGAACGCAAAAAGAACTGAGTCCTTTTTTTGTCTGTCCACTTTTTGGTCCACTTTAAGAGGACTGAGTTCAGTTCATTTAAAAAGGACCAAGTGTGAAAACTTGAAATGAAATTAAATGGTTTGCTTCAAATGGGTCTGAGTTCTCTTTGAGTGTTCATATATGTGCAAAAAATGCTGAGTCACCACTCTGAGTCACTTTAGAGGGCTGTAAAGTAGTATATGTGAGAACACCCTTAAATTTCTCACACCAGTGTTTATTCGATGCTCTGTAAGAGATATTCGTATCACAGTTTTAAATCAGTTTTGAAAAGACAGAATATGGTTTTGAGAGTCAGTTTTGTGTTTAGAGTTTTGAGAACCTGAGCTATAATTTCAGGAAACGTGTTTAAATGTTTTCGAGAAACTGTAGCCAGCCAGACAGAGGCTATAGTTCCCAAAATTTACTTTGTAATTCCCCTTAATTTGTGGTCGTATCCACCAGCAGCGTAACCACTGGTTCTTACTGATAGCTTGCTTACTGCTAAATGTAAGTACAGTGGAACGAGGGAGTGACAGGGGATTTTAGAATAAAGGAGAAATGACCCAGGGCCTATAATGTGAGTGTTATTGTAAGTACTGAGTATCTATGGGGAACATTAGAGGAAAGGAGAAGTACTGTTCTGTTTACCAGTACTGCACCCTTAGGTACCCAGCATTTACAAAAACCTCCATTCATTTTCCTCTAAACTACCCTGTAGGTGAACAGTACAGAAGCACTTCTTTCTTGCAAATTAAGGATAAATTTCACATTTTTAATACAGCTAATACAAAGCGTCTAAGAATAGCCAAGCTGTCTCTGTTAGTTATATAAAGAGAGATTACTCAGTGTGATGTGTGAAGTTGACAGGAACAAGAAAAGACATCTGTAATCTGGGATGTTGCATTAATTAAGATGATTATTTTTATTGGTAGAACAGCCGTAATGACACAGATACATAATGAATTGATGCAGACTAGCAGTTTTCATAAATGCATAATGCAGAGGGGGAAGTCTACTCTGATGACAGACGGGGGCTAAACAGTATGTTAAAATAACATTCATGTGTTTCTGCTGCACTCCATACAGTCTACACCGTCACAAACATAATTACAAGTTTCACATTTTTGTTCTGTGCCCACTACATCAGCGTTAAATATCATCCCTGTATCATTCCAGAAAGGACGTTTAATGTGTCATATCTACACATACACAGAGTCAGTATTTACAAATATATATGCATGTACAGTGGTAAATACTTTTGTTTCGCACTAATTCAACATTATATTTCACATTTATCAGGAAATAATTTAAAAACTTTGACTTAATATCAGTTTAAATGCAGTTTTCCTTCATCTGATCTAAACATCAGTTCCCAATCACCTCCCTACAGGAGTCACAAATATACAGAACAATTGATGGTAAGGAAACACAAAAGTGATTATTTCTGCACAAATATTTAAAGAGGTATTTCTCCTTGGTTGAATTATTATTGATAAAAATTATAATAAAACATTTCTCATTAATGGTACCACGCTGTTGTTGAAAGATGACTATTTAAAGCGAAGCAGGTGCTTTTGTTCGAGAGGTAAGTGTCTCTCTCTCAGCAGGATGCTGCGTTCGAAAGCTTGCTTGCTTCATTCTTCAGGCAGCTATTATCAGTCTTTGTCACTGAGTTATATAACTTTATAGAACAGCAGACACATGTAAACTAATGAGAGGCTGCACTTGATGAATAACACTTTATGTTAACCTCTGACCTGTTATTCTTAAATGAATATTTCACACCCCAACTGATCATTTGTGTATCATTTACTCCGCCCACGTTACACTGGATTTGTGAAGAAAGCTTTCTTTTCCTCGCATGCCTCCATGTTGTACAAAGAATCCAAAAACAGAGACAATTCTTGATGAATTGCATTCACCTAGAGCCGCATTTAACAACAGAAAACTACACTCACTAGCCACTTTATTAGGTACACCTGTTCAGCTACTTTTTAATGTCATGTGGCAGCAACTCAATGTATTTAGGCATGTAGACATGGTCAAGACGACCTGCTGAAGTTCAAACCGAGCATCAGAATGAGGAAGAGAGGCGATTTAAGTGACTTTGAACTTGGCATGGTTGTTGGTGCCAGATGGGCTGGTCTGTCAGAAACTGCTGATCTACTGGGATTTTCACACACAACCATCTCTAGGGTTTACAGAGGATGGTCTGACAAAGAGAAAACATCCAGTGAGCAGCAGTTCTCTGGGTGAAAATGCCTTGTTGATGCCAGAGGTCAGAGGAGAATGGCCAGACTGGTTCCAGTTTAAAGAAAGGCAACAGTAACTCAAATAACCACTCATTACAACCAAGGTCTGCAGAAGACCATCTCTGAACCAACAACATGTCAAACCTTGAAGCAGATGGGCTACAGCAGCAGAAGATCACACCAGGTGCCACTCCTATCAGCTAACAACAGGAAACTGAGGCTACAGTTCACACAGGCTCACCAAAACTGGACAATAGAAGATTGGAAAAACCTTGCCTGGTCCGATGAGTCTGGATTTCTGCTGTTACATTCTTATTTTAGGGTCAGAATTTGGTGTAAACAACATGAAAGCATGGATCCATCCTGCCTTGTATCAACGGTTCAGGCTGGTGCTGGTGGTGGTGTAATGGTGTGGGGGGTATTTTCTTGGCACACTTTGGGCTCATTAGTACCAACTGAGCATGGTTTAAACACCACAGCCTACCTGAGTATTGTTGCTGACCATGTCCATCCCTTTATGACCACAGTGTACCCATCTTCTGATGGCTACTTCCAGCAGGATAACGCACCATGTCACAAAGCTCAAATCATCTCAAACTGGTTTCTTGAACATGACAATGAGTTCACTGTACTCCTATGGCCTCCTCAGTCACCAGATCTCAATCCAATAGAGCACCTTTGGGATGTGGTGGAACGGGAGATTCACAACATGGATGTGCAACTGTGTGATGCTATCATGCAATATGGACCAAAATCTCTGAGGAATGTCTCCAGCACCTTGTTGAATCTATGACACCAAGGCCAGCTCTGAAGGCAAAAGGGGTCCAACCTGGTGCTAGCAAGGTGTACCTAATAAAGTGGCCGGTAAGTGTATGTCAGAACATCAATTTACAAGCTCTCAAGCAACTCTTGCAGTATAATCCAGTCTAATTTATCTTGTCGTATGCTCAGTACTTCCCAACATTTAAAGAGTCTCAGGCAGATGAGTAACAACCTGCGCTGATTATGAAAAAGGGTTTTAAATGATATAGTTTAAGTATTATTAAGTATTCAGTCTTCTCCATCTTTGAATCCTTTGTTCACCGCAGAGGCATGCAAGAAGTTTTATTCATGAATTCAGAATGACACAAGGAGAGTCACTGAGTGTTCCTTATAGAACAAAAGTCCTTGACGCATCTGACATTTTCTTTCATGGCACTGATACATGGTCTGTATGTATAATTACTGAACTGAAGAGCAGCTTCTATCTAAATATATGAAGCATTTATCTTTAAAAGCTTTTAAGGTCATTCTTCACAACAATTTGATGACTATAATCACAGACAGTACAGGATGAGTTGGGGTTTTTTTGTCATTTCATCTTGTCATCTCTTGTCATCTTTTCTCTGTTCAGTAAATTACATGCTATTAAAATGATCACTGAAATGAAAATATATTTATAGAGAATACTTGGAAATTGTTTCCTTTGGTTGTATTTAGCTTTGTTATTACTGTGTGTTCACATTTCCTGTAATATTTTGGTGTTTAATTGGTCTGTTGTTCTCTTTTTCTTTCATTTGAGTGTAAATTGGTTTCAAAATATCGTTTTTTTTGTGAGTGTGTGGAAATCTTGTACTTAAGATATTGGAAATTCTAATGTTTCAGCATCATGCAAATAATTTCCTTCCCCTTATTCTATGGATTCTGGGTTTTAAAATCCTAAAAAGTACACTTAAAGTACATTATATACATGCTAAAAAACAGACTTTCTATTATTTAGGGGAGACAATATACAATGCATCTGACAGCAGTGACTTCTATTTATATATAAATACATATTTCTCTCCATTACCATGAGAATCTACTGTATAATCATTGGATGACATTTTCATTCTGCCACTTTGCCTGTCTGCTCCGCTCCTCCTTCCCACTCCTGCCCGCCCTGCTGCTCCTTCCCCCTGCTCACCTCCCCATGGGGCTGCAGCTGCTGCAGGAAATCATCCAGGATCTGCTGGGCTGACACTGAGGTCACATCCACAACGTCCTGTTCCAAAAGTGTTACCTTTACCCCGCCCTTCCCACCCCAGCTGTCAGAACCCACATGGGCCTGCTGGAGGTTTGGAGGGGTGTCAGCGTGGTTGGTGCCAAGAGGAAGCTGCTGCTGGCTATGGGGGTAGAGAGGCTGTGGTCTGGCAGCGTAGCTGGCAGCCATTTTCTTATAGATAGCAGTGCTGATGTCAGATACAGAGAAAAGTGGGCTGTGGCTGGACTCGGGCTGACCAGAGAGGCTGCCTTCAGTTCCTGTTGTGGGGTCGCCCTGTTTGAATGGTATGAAGGCTGTGACTCTCTGCGCACCTGTCGCTGATTTCATCAACCAATCATGTGCTGCTTCCTCCACTTTGACAGCGTGGGATTGGCCGTCTGCTTGTGGGGAAGTGGCAGAGTGGCTGGTTGGAGCGGAGGTGGACAGAAACTTCTGTATGGCTTCAGCTGAGTCAAAGTGCTTCTCCAGCAAATCCTTTATCAGGCACGGCACCTGAGGGTGAGACACACCAACACAAACATTAACTCTGTGTTCAGTCCATGAAGAAGAAGAAGAAGAAGAAGAAGAAGAAGAAGAAGAAACATCGCTTTATAAATCTCTGAGAGTTTTCAGCTCCACTTGTGATCTGAATTACAACACTGGAAACAGGTCACGCTACATGAACAGTAACCCTGCCCTGCGGCACTCTGCAGGTTGTTTTGTGTCTTTTAGCAACATTTGCAGGTTACCTATATAGTGTGACTCTAGTTTACTCAAGCACTCTACTTAATTTATTCTCCAAGTACCATTTTGATGTACTCACACACATTAAAAATATCTTTTTCAAGAGCGTCCTGGACAAGACACACTATGTATTGTTATTATAATAATATGATATTATTAAATTAATTATATTATGTCATATTATATTATTATTTATATTTTATTATTTATATTATATTACATTATTATTGTTTATATCATATTATTATTTATATTATATATCTTTATATTATAAATAATATTGTAATATTATAATATAACAAATTAAAAACGAAAACAACTTGTGTAAATTACAGAAAAAGATATCCAGAGGCAGATGTGCCCTTTTCCAAGTCATTCAGAAACACTTTAATGCGTCAAATGAGAAAATCTGCTGAAGATTTTGGTGAGTTTGCAACTGACTCCAAGCCGAGAGAGCAGCGTTACTTAAACACCCTTTTTCCAAGGTCAGAACAGCTTTACTTAAGTATTTCCATTTCATGCTACTATAAACTTCTACTTCACTTCATTTCAAAGGAAAGAATTAAACTTTTTACTCCACTACATTTCACGTGTATTACACACAAAAACACAGAGAAATAATAAATTAGATTAAGATATTAGAGAGTCTAAAAAAATGAAAACAGATTTTTGTAGCAGAACTTTGTTTTTCCTCTACCCTCAGGAGGAGGCCTGAACCCCAGATTAGGAACCACTGGACTAAACTAACTTTAAGTACTTAAACTTGCTCCAATTTAACCAGCTATAAAATGCTGCTCACACACTGATGCATCAGTATGAAGTGGGCATTCTACTGCAGAGCGCATACATTTGCTTTGCTTTTACTTGAACAGAATTTTGAATGCAGTTTTACTTGTAATTAAGTTGTTGTTGTTTTTTACATTGTTGTATTGGCATTATGCAAAATACTATAGAGTATGTTACAAGATAATATAGGAAATGGGTGGTGCATATCTTACAAGTCAGAAAGCATACTTAATTTTTTTTTAAATTAATTTCAGTGTAGGTTAATGGTGGCTTAAGTAAGCACCACTTTTTGGCTAATAAAACCTAATCAGACTCAGTATCAGCATTAACTCAGTATTAAAGAGTAATGAGCAAAGAAGTGTGATCAGGACATCCCTACTTTCAGCTGAGCTCCTTGACTTTCCAAAGAGAAGTGGTATTAATCGTTTCTAAAAGCAGCCACTTAGTCCTCCTGACCCCTCGAGCCCCCAACCTGTGCCCGGTACGCCTGCTCAATGATTCCTAAAATTTAAAAATTGATTTCAAGGTGGCAGCTACTTTATCATCTTGAGTGTGACGAGGCTCAGGTTGAGATAAAGAGGAGCAGCAAAAGCAGGTTTGAAGAAGTGTAACTGCAAACATATCTGTGTTTGAAACTGCTTCTTGTGACAATAGGGACACAGAGTGATGTGGTTTCATAATATTACATTACAAATATTGATATGACCCATCTAACCAAGGATTAAAGAAGAATGATTCATCAAAATGAAATCTTTAGTGTTTGCTATGTGAAGTGTGCATAGATGTCCAGTAGGTGGCACTGTGCTCACATTGATGTTTTCCAGGGCTGCGATGGTCCTGTGGGCGTCCTCCAACTCTGAGCTCAGCTGTGACACGCGGTTTAACAGGTACTTCCTCTCACTGCTCAGGCTCTCTGACTGCACACACGTAACAACATATACAACACGGTGACGTTAACATGGAAGTGGGTCATGGCTTGTGAATGTGCGTCAGGTACAACATGTTTCCTCCCTAAATTCCCATGCGAGGCGTCTCACCGCTATATGCAGGTGTTCCCCCAGCAGGTTATTGGCCTGCTTGGTCCCAGTGTGAGTCTCCAGAAGGCTGCAAGACACAGAGGACATGTTATCAGTATTATTTACACACACACACACACACACACATACACCACTCTGTAATCATTATCTTTTATGTAGGGTCAAAGACAGTTTTTTGTCAGTTGTCAGGCCAAGTGGCAATCATAAACTCTCCTAGCATATGTGTAACAATTGACACCAAACTGCAGCCCAGTGTGAGGTGACCATTCACTCCAGTTGCTCCAGTTTGCTGAGGAGCATGTGGTATGTGCCTGGCAGGCAACATAGGCTGTTCAGTGACAGATACAGGCTTGACAGGGTCACAATAAGACTCTCACTGGTGAGTGTGAGGGGACATGACAGATGCTTTAGTCTCTGCTGGCCGGGAGAAACATGTCACTGCAGAGCCAAAACACACCCACAGATGTACCCGAGGGAGGCTGTATGTTCCATGGATCAATGAATCTATAAAAACTGTCATGTAAAGCTATAGGTTGACTTGATGTATTTTGGCTCTGGAGTCAATATGAGTGCCCTGTGAGAGTCTCTCATGGAAACATGTTATTCTTTATGTACTGCATCATCATACTGCACGTGGAGCAGATGTAACCCTCCATGTGAGTGTGTAAACAATGTTTATGCAATAAGCAAGTTGAGTTTAGCTCTGTTTTTGATCCCAAACCTTTTATATTTCTCCTTGACGTGACTGAGCTCGTCTCGGGTCCTCTGCAACTCCGCCTCCAGGCTTTCAATGCAAACCACAGTCTGCAGCAGGTTCTGGTGAAGATCTGCATTCTCCTCCTGCAACGCCCTGAACACAGAGGAATGATGGGAGATGGAGTTTTTTAGGAGATTATGTAGAAGTGTTGCCTTTTAGGATCAATATATTTTTTTAATATTCATTAATCCGTAACTGCTGATCCTTTTGAGGGTTGGGAAGGGGGCTGGAGCCTATCCCAGCTGAGATTGGGTGAAAGGCGTGAAAGGCGATGTACACCCTGGACAGGTCGCCAGACTATCACAGGGTTGACACATAGAGACAGACAACCATTCACACTCACAGTCACACCTATGTGCAATGTTTTTGGACATGCAGGTTAGGGACAGAAGGACAGAAGGGCCTCAGCCCAATGCCAACTACTGCACCACCATGCTACCACCACTGTTGTAATATACTACATAAATATCTAGTAGGTCTGAAATCAAGTCATTTGGCAACAGTGGCCTTGAGAGCTATTCACTGATAACCAATCACCAGAAAAAAAGTTTGGCATTGTACATTTTTGCAAAATGACAGATGTTATATTTGCACATTATTTTGTTGAGGAAATTTTAGGTTTCAACATCACTGTGGTTAATTTATGGTTAGGTTTAGGCATGAAAACCACTTGGTTATTGTTAGAAAAAGATCATGTTTTCCTTTCAAATACCGGCTGTTCGTGCCACTAGCTCAGCAGAAAAGGAACTAATGTCCTGGTGAAAAAACGATTGCTTTTCCTGCCACTACCACCGCTGGAAAAACAGCGCCAGGTCGCAAAAACACACCCACGTCTGGTGCCTCAAAAGGCAGCTGGAAACACAGCAAAGACTCACAACCAGTTTTGCTGTTTGTTCATCTCAAACAGTGGTGCAGCACTTCAGGCCTCTCACCTAGGTTACATGCCTCTCCACCACCTTAAATACTAGATCACTCTAGCAATGTTGATATGGTGCATATGAAACATGCAAATGTAATAGCCTATATCCATGGTTTGCAGAGACTTACCATGCCAACATTTTCTGCTGGCAACTGGGCTGACTATTCAAAATGAGGCCTTCTCTCACATGCCTCCATTTTGTGAGTCTATTCATTATTCATGGTCAGACAGTGCTTTGACATTTTGAACTATGAAAAACTATGTTATCAAACTTCATTACTACACATAAGGTGAAGACAAATGATGTCAATGGCTCCTGAAAAGGACTTTGACCATTAAACAAAGATTACAAAGATGGCTGCTGCATAGCTTGCACACCAGTTAGAAGATTGTCACTGCAGAGTTTACAGAGGCCTGGCAGTCAGCCCTTCAACGTGACTCCAAGTATATGTGCCCATTTTGCAGTTACATCAGCCAAACCTACTACAAAATTTGATAGAGCAATAGTCTGGAATAACTGATTCAGTGGACATTTGTACATTATGTACCTGTATTTTTCCAATGAAAACCAAGATGTTAGGAGTCCTTTTTCATTTGGTGCTAACGTTCGTTTGTCCTTCCTTTCTTTGTCACATATTCTTATTTCTAACAACACAGAAATGGTTATATAAATCAGTTCCATAACTCCTACGCCTCGTCCTGTTGATGCAGGAGTGGAGGGAGAGAGGATGCTCATTAGACTGATCAATAACCACTGACCCATCACAGCAGAAACACGGAGAGAACAGAGTGAGACAGACAGAAATTTATATTAAAAAAAAAAGCTGCCCTCAATTGTGGAGTGAGCAGACAGGAAGTGTATAACACACTTACTGGAGATGGTCGGCGTCACACAGTGTGTCCTGGAAAAGCAATAAAAGAGAGATGAGAGAAAAGTGAATATTCGCAGAATACAGGAGACATTAGGTGATTTAGGATTTAATACTGTGCGTGTCATGCAGTGCAATCATGTTTGCACAGTGGTGTTTTGGCACTGTACTTCAGCACATTGAGCTGATAATGAAACGTCTGCACTGTGTAAAAACTGAAAAACATGTTGCTTTGTTTTGTAGACCTGCCTCCAAGTTCTGCACTGTTTACCCAGTACGAATGTAACACTCCCTACGAGGTGAGGCAAAAGGCCAAAACAGAGACAAACATGTTACACATATCAGAGGTGGAGTGATGGGGGTGTGGCTTCCTCGGGCTCCAGGCTGGTGTTTTCTCAAAGCTTCAAATCTTTTAGGTTTTTAAAATACCTTTAACTTTGTGTCAGCTGGATAATAATATATGCTGTTTATCCTTTAATATTTGAATATTCAATTCAGGGTGTTGAAGACCACATTTACTTGGTTTTGTTAGGGATCCACTTCAACACAGTAACAAAAATAGGTTCCAAGATTAGTAGAGCTGTCTACAACAAATTACTACCCTACTTGTTATGTAGCTTAAATATAGTAACATTAATTATTGCCTATTTTTAGGTGGCAGAAGTGAAAATGAGTCATTGTCAACATTTCTTGTGTTACTGTTTCAGAATGATGAAGACAGTTGGAGAATATTTAAGCCCCTTTCCCACTGCACAAAGAACACATCTGGCTTTTATAGCCTATACAGTGGAAAAAGCTACACTCTGCATTCACTCTCAGGACAAATGACTCTGCAGTAGTCATGGGTATTTATCGGCTCCAGTTACGATCAGCTCCAATTGGCAGTGATGGCAATATAGCACCCACGTGAACGTGCTAATGTTAGCCCCTTTGCCAGGGCTTGAATATTGTTTGAAATTAGTCAGCACAGAGTTTGAAAGAGAGACTGAATAAGTATAGGTATCAAAAAAGGAGTAACCACTGTAACATTTTCACTGGCATCAACTTTGCTTTCTACTGTTTACTTACCTGTTTTCTGGTGCATCCGTGACGTCAAATGTGACACAACAGGTAAAAAAACCCCCAGAAAAGTATACCTAGTATATCTACTGCAGAGCCGTATACAAGGCTCTAGTCTGCTGGCAATGGGCAAGGAGACAATTGCCTCTTTTAAGTGATTTCCCTGTATTAAAATAACCTGAAATTTTGGTGAGAGAAAGCTACAAGTCTTTCCAACGCAAATTAGTGTGTAATGTATTATCCTGAAGAGCCTACATCCCATTTTGAATCTAATTTAGATAGAAAATAGTATGTAAGCTCTACAGAATGATTTTTTTCCTTTGCAACTGTCATGTTTTTCCTAAATGATGACCAGATTTTTTGGCACTCTTTATCTCAAATGGCTTGAAAAATAGTGCATATTGCTTCCATTAAAAAAAAAAACAAAACCTGGGAGAGCATGCCCCTGGATTGCTCTCGGTCTGGGCTGAGCCCCAAAGGTTTTCACCATCTGGCTCCACCCCTGGTACTCATAAAACATGCACTGATATTCAAACATGCAAAATGAAAAAGTTTTCATAAAGCCATTTACAAGAAAAAGGGAAAGATAGTCCCTAAATCTGCAGGTAGATATGACCAGTGGTGTAGTGGAGGGTATACTCAGGTATACGGGGTATACCCACTTCTTTTTCTATCCAGTTACAGTATACCCACCTATCAGCTAAAAAGCCATTGTAATATATAGGAGAGTATGCCCACTTCCTCATCAGTAACCTACCTATCTACCTAGTAGTACACCCACCTCATCAATTACCACTACACCACTGGATATGACTAACACTAGTAGTTCAGGACTGATACCAGATTTGCTACTATGGGTAAAAAACATATAAAGAGTAATATGTGGTGAGAATAAGAACATCCTTACCATCCATTCATTTTCATTTTATATACATTACAGGAGCTGGAGCTTCTGTACTCCCTGTTCTCACTGTGTTATAGTCAGGACACACCCAGGGTGGGTCACCAGTCCATTACTGGGGACATGACAGATTGAATAAAGTATTGAGTTATGGGAGACCTGCTCCCGGAAATGGACTCTATTAGCATCGATAAGTTCTTCGCCCTTTTGTATGTGTGTGTGTGTGGTTATGTATATGTAAGTGTGAGTATGTGTGAATTCACTGAGCTTTAAATGACAAGACAAACTACCTCTAAACTCCTGCACAGCCAGCAGATGGAAAAAGGCAATGTTATGCAATGTTGTGTGTGTTTATCAGAGTGCCAGCCTGAGTAGATTGTTACATAACAGCAACGTGATACTTGCTCTCATCCAGCCAACGCTCTCTCACATTTTACACGATGCTGGCTAGTGGAAGCCAGCCTGAGAGATTTGTCTCAGTGGATGTGTGACGTGTATTTTTGCTTTCTCTTCCCACAGAACACACAGTCGCTCAGGGCTGACGCTTGGAAACAAACCATTACACCATTTAAAGTGAAAAGTCAGGTACTTTCAATGGAGCTGCCCCCAAAGCACTAAACCAGATTCTGCTGCACTGCTGAGGAATGACTCAGCATGCAGTGCGTAGTGTTTGACACGTCCCACACAGCCTGTGACTCAGCTATACTGCCTCTGCAAGAGAAGAGCAATGCTGCATTCATTACATTCCTCCTGTTCTTTCTTTGCAGAGAGATCCTCCCCTCACTGCAGTGTTATGCCTTTGGTGGCTTCATCGCTGACTCACTTACAGACAGACTCATGATTCATCTTTCTTTATAAAAACTGACTTTATCTGACTCATGGTTACACAATTCGATTCACGTCTCTCTCAAAAGGCCATGCATGTCTTGAAGGGCATTTGTGATTTAATGCCAAGGTTGATTTTATTTGATGGACTTTTTTGAATGACCTCATGTCTTATAAATGAATGTAAGTACACTGCCGAGGTGCCCTTGAGCAAGGCACCGAACCCACTCAACCACTCGGGGCACCTGTCATGGGCAGCCCCCTCACTCTGACATCTCTCCACTTAATGCATGTATAGGTCCTGTTTGTTCCCCTCGGGGATTAATAGTGTTGATGTTAGTTGGTTCAGGAAATAAATGATTTGTGGCCAACTTTTTAAATAACATATTTTTTAATCTTGCAGCCTGGGGGAAGATATCAAACACTTTCAAGTCAAAGGACTGAAGTCCAAGTTAAGTCACAAGTCATTGGTGTTGAAGTCCAAGTTGAGTTGCAAGTCTTATTTGATTTTGTCAAGTCGAGTCTACAGTCATCAAATTTACGACACGAGTCAAAGTCTTGTGACTTGAACCCACACCTCTGATTATGACAGTAGAGAAACAAGCTTATTAAAGAATACAACTCTATACATGTGTATATATAAACATCTTTATGAGTTTTATAGGTTTTTATAAATTATTTCTGCCCCTAAGGGAGACAAATGTCAACTGTCAGTTAATGCAACTGTGTGACACTATAATAATATCATATGCATAAGTGTTTAAAGCATTTTAACAATGATTTCATCAACCAAAACAGGTTTTCATTTACGTTTCCTAAGATATGTGTGTTGTGTTAGTGACATTTCACTTTCAGAATTATGATCTGAGGCCTGAAATCCCCCTGCTCTGCATGTTCTTGTTCTCTTACTGCTGCTGTTTTTGTTTTGCCTGTTTGTCTTACTGCTTGTGTATGCTTGTCCTGTTTGTTGTAGTACCTGTCACTGATGTCTACTAACTACCTGCCCGATGCTTCTGTGCTAGTCTGCATGTCTCTGGGTCTTTGGAAGTGCCTGGATGTGTGCTGTTGTCTCTTTCACCCTTAAACTTTATAATGCATGTTTGTTGTGACATGTAATGTTTCTGTTTGTGTGTAATTAGTGAGTGTTTGGGAAATTTTCTGAATGTGTGCTGCCGTTTTTACATTTCTTTTTAGCCCTTACTCCCTTCCCTCAAAAGGCTTTGTCTTTTGCCAGCCTGTCTTTCTAAATAAGTTCTTAATGACTTGCCTGGTTAAATAAAGGTTCAGTAAATTCCCTCCTGTATCTCCAGTCTCAAGCATATTAAACTAGTAAACTCACCCTGTGTTGTTTAGGGTGTCCCACATGTTGTGACTGGTGTCGACCACTCTGCTCTGAACTGGGGCTAGTAGCTGTGGAGGCTGTGTCTCTGGCCCTGGATGAATCAGATTTTGTGGATGAGGACTCAGAGCCGAGGCCCGGCCCTCCACCCTGGGTTGAGAATGGAGGGGAGCTGACGGGCCCTCGGTGCCCGGGGCTGTGGTACACCTGTTGGGGCTGGTGCTGGGGGAAGTGCTGGGTGTGTTGACTGTGGGAGGCAGAGAGCTGCTGTTTGCGGTGGTGACGTTGTTTGGGGTGGTTAGGTTCAGGGCTGGTGCTAGTGCCATCTGTGAGGTGAGGGCCACCTCTACCATATCTGTCCCCTGACATGGAGCCGCCAGTGGGCGATGGCCTTCTTTCTTTACGGCTGTTTTCATGGGGGTAGTGATGAGGCGGGGGGCTACCGTGGTGGTTCCTAGCTGCATATGAGTTCAGTTTGTCAGGAGTGGAGCAGTCCGGGTTTTTACGAGAGCTGCTGCGAGCTACTTTCTCCTGTCTGCTGTGTTGTTTTGGGTGCTGCTCCCTCTCCTCCCCTGAGCTCTCTCTATGCTTCTTGGGTGGGAGCTGAGGTTTGACTGGGGCAGGTGTTTGTGCTGGGGCAGGTGTCTTCGCAGGAGTTTTATCAGCGTTCACACCCAAGATGTTCAGAGCAGATGGACTTATAACCTGTTTTGTTATCTCATCTAGAAAGGCTGAGAACTGCATCTTCCCCTGCACAAAGTTTGTCCTGGCCTGTTCTATCTCAGCTTGAGTGGCCCCTTTCCCTTTCTGTCCACCAGGATCTTGTCCTTTGGAAACTCTTGGGGACAGCACCTCCATCGACTTAGCCTTGCGTATGTCAGTATTTGGCTCCTTGTTTTTGAGGATGCCTTTGCTCGGCAGCTGACTGGAGGACACCGCTCTCTTAGGGCCCCTGGAAACCCCTAACAGAAAGTCCTCCTCACTGAAAGCCAGGCTTCGGTTCAAACTAGCAGCCTTGTACAGAGGTTGATAGTTGATGTGCTGTTCCCTGGACTGTGTTCCTCCAAGATCGCTTTCATTACCCTGCAGAAGACCTTCTTCACTTCTGCTGTGACCTCGGTCAAGAGAAGCAAAACCACGCTTCCCCCTCTTTTGTGTGTTTCCTTGTATCTCACTACAAACACTGTCTTTCTTGCCGTGTCTGACGGTGGCAAAGACAATGGGCTCGCTGCCGTCATCCTCCCTGAAACCTCTGCGCACATCTGAGATGTTGGAGCAGGACAGGGAGTGCTGCGGCTGTGCAGCGTGACGAAGAGAGAACGGATCATTTGCACTTTCCTCTGTGTACCACGAGGAAAAAGAGCAGGAGGAAGAGGATGAAGAGAGGGAAGAGGAAGAGGCCCTAGAGAGAGTTACAGGTGTTTCGTGGTTGTACAGTATCTCGTCCTCTTCACTGTGGTGAAACTGCTGTGTTTGATGCCGATGGTGGGTGTTGCGATGAGGGCTGTCATGGAGATAGCGACCATGTTGATGGTGACGGTGGTGCCCGAGGCTTTCATCTGTGTTCCTGTCTGTGTCATCGAACATTGTGTACCTACAACACAAAGATGCAGGATTATGAGGTAATCATGCCTCTGCGCACATGGGATGGATTAATGATCGGGCCTACTGGGGACAGGCCTAGGGGTCCAAAGTGTCACAGGCTCACCTGGCATTAACCTGCAAAAGGTCACTCAAAACACACGCCATCCAAGAAGCATCTCAAAATGACTACAAAGAAACATATAACAACTACAAAGAGACACAGAAAGACCGAGTCAGAGTCCCACAGGCTTGATTTAACAGGTTGAGGAACTCATTTGTTCATCAGTCTGACAACCTATTAAATCAGAGTATGGCTTCTAAGTAGCATGGGTCAAACGCTGAATGTAATAAGTAATGACTAATTTACTGTACTGCATCATTTTTTGCAGTATCCTTTATGATTTGTAGCATTTGTTGTTTGGTTAAACATTGTTTTATATTTTTGTATTTATGTAAAACAGCTGACATCCTGGAGCCAGTTGCACAAAACAGCTTAAGTTAAGACTTTCCTTAAAGTCCTACATAAGGTTTTCTCAAAATAAAATCTGTTGCGCACTCTTTAGGGTTTCCTTAAAATGTTCACCTAAGTATTAATGGTTTTCTCCTTGTCTTGGTCTTATACTTAAGGAATCCTTAGACCGTTGCACAAAAGAACATAGCAAAAAAAAACAAAAAAACTAAAGGTACCTCTGACTCTTTCATGGTGATAAATGAAAAAAAATAATAATAACACACCCTGAGAGGAGTGTTCTGCAGCCAGGAGAACCCAATGGATACGCTTCTGATTTTACACTATAGATTTGACTGAATTCATTTTTCGTTGCAATTTCTTCTTACAATCATTTTCTGTTTCCTGGTTTTCAAGAGGTTTGTTCTTTTCCTCCTCTGACAACTATAGTTTTTTTGTCTTCTTTTCTTCTGCCATTTTTTCACTATCTAACTATAAGCCAACTTTGTCAGATGAAAACAGGCATCACAAGCATGAGTGCAAGCAAACAAACATACTCCAAGGAAATCTCTACTGTAAAATCTTTTTCAGCACAGTAAACGAGTTAATGTTTTTCCTTAACTAAGTAAACCTTTTAAGGGATTCTGTTCAACTGTGTAAGACCCTCAGCTAAAGAGGGATTAAGCTTTAAGTATGATACTTAAGAAAACTTAAGGTGTTTTGTGCAACTGATCCCTGGGCCGCAAGAAAATTTTAGAATTCTTTCTGACTTTAAAGCAAAATCAAATCACACCAAATCAAGACGGAGCAAAACAACCACATATACAGAAAACAACAAAGAGGCACAAAATTACCACAAAGAGACATGAAAGCACAGGAAGATGCGTATCGACAAAAAAATGCAACAGCAAAACAGGCCAAACAACTTTAAAGTCTGTGTGTGTAGCTTCTATGTATTAGAGGTGTTAGGGCCCTCTGCGTGTCATTGCCCAGGGGCCAGTTGCCTGATAATTTGCCCATGTCTACACACACAAGACTATATTGTATGATATAGTTATACTGCACACATGTAACTTGTAACTATTGCCAGGATGGGTATATTTGATTTTAAAATACTGATGGCTTTACACGTAACCTTTGCCTTATCAAGGTAAATTTCAAGATGTCTGTGATTTTATTTCTTCAAACATTTTCCTTAAGATGTTAATGTAAGTCTGGCAGACTGGAGCGAACAGTCCTACCTGTGTGACTGAGAGTCTTGGTGATGAGGAAGGTGATGATGGTGGTGGTGTTTCCGCGGCTTGATCTCATCCGGGCCAGAGGGACTGTGAACAGGTTTAAAAAACTTCTCCATCATGTGTCTCTTCCCTGGTTGTAGGCGGTCAATGCCGTCCTGGTTGCTGATAGTGATCTCTGTTTGTACTCAGCTGTTTCTTCTATTTTTTTTCTGACTTTTCTGAATGTCTTTTTCACTATAAGGTTGCAACTTGTCTGTTGATGTCACCTGCTGAGACTTCAGAGCACACAATAATAATCTACTGCTGTTTCTGACCAATGTGAAAAATAAATGATATTCTAGGTAATAAAGAGTTCAGTCCTCAAAAAAGTTTCCTTCTCAAGAGAAAATAAATCTCCAAGTGTTTTATTAAAGTCTCCAGTTGTCTGTTTGTTTCAACCTATATGAATCAGTTAGTCTCCCTCAGCGGCTGGCTGCAGAGTAACGAATAATGCTTGCGAGCAGGAATGTATAAATTCCTGGATGGTGGCTTGATTCTGCATCACGCCTGATGTAACAGCTGGGCGCTCAGTGAAGCGGCTAAAAGAGCAGGACCTTTGTCCTCGTACAGGAGACAATCGAACCGAGCCCTGTGGGACAGGATCTATAACATGGTTCATTTAACCCTCTGATATAACCTGCAGAAGTGGGGTTTGTCCATTTGTTTGTGCTGTCTTCTGATTCAACGTCATCTCTGTATGCTATAAACTTTTGTAACAACTTTTCTTTGTTTTCACCACTGTTTTTATGAACTGACAAAAAAGCAGGTATGAGTGGAGCTATTGAGCTGCCCTCAGCTGCCCCATTGATTTTAGAGGTTCCTGCTACCATCTGCCTGTGGCCTCTGTGATCACATTTATGAGGGGTGGGCGATAGGACGGTACATACCATGGGATGTTTATATTCGTCAGCCATCAGAGATTATGTCATACAATCTTTACAGCAGATGTCCCTTTAGTGTCTCTGATTGTACTGAATAATTGTTGGCGATGTTGTGGGTCCACAGGCAATGCTGTTATGGATTTTCATATAGTCCTGATTCCAAACAGTTGGGACACTGTGTTAAGCAAATAAAAATAGAATGCAGTGATTTGTGAATCCCTTTAGACACCCAGTGAGGGGCATAAGTATGCAACACATCTTTTTTTTTCATGAAATATATTTCCAGTGCAGCTATTCACATGAATTTTGTACCAGACATTGGTATTAACTCAATATAACCTACATTGATGAAGAAATTGTCACATTTCAATCCATAAAAAGTCTGTGCAATAAAGTGGAAAAAGTATTGAACACACTGACTGACATTTACTTAAAGGGGAAGCACGCCCATTTTCAAATATTCACACGTTACTGCTATGGTCTAAGACAGTCCAAAAATATAAATAAACATGATCAACTCTCTCCCAAATCCAAAAGCTACAGCTCAAATGTGTGATGTCATTGAGTGTAGGGACTACTATCAATGAAAATAGGCGCTTAACTGTGACTCGTTCCAAAAAAATCCAAGCCAAAGTTCAAAGATGTGCCTGGGAACGTCTTGGGGTCCCCCAGGAGGAGCTGGAAAGCACTGCTGGGGAGAGGGATGTCTGGGGCGCTTTGCTCGGCCTGCTGGCCCCGTGACCCGGCCCTGGGTAAGTGGATGAAAATGGATGGATAGATGGTTAAATACACATTCTGGGTCCTACATAGGGTATAAAGTCTGGCGCCGCTCCACAGACAGTGAATTGTGGAAAATGTTTTAGATGACACTAGCCAATTTAACATTCCCTGTTTAAGGCAGGAATATTGTGCTGTTATGCCATGTCGCCCCTCTGTATATCAGATACGATCACAGAAAGGGGAGACAGAGTTGTCTCGCCTCTAAACCTATCACACATCCTTTGATTTTGGGATGCCGGGATGCTGTTAAAAATCACACACTGGCGGGCATGCTGCCGCCATTGTTTGGCTCTGTGTAAAAAAAGAGTCATAAAGAAGGGACTTAGTAGCGTCCCTATGGTGTGATCTCTGTGTAAAAAGGGCTACTAAAAGCACCCAGAGGAATGTTCTGAGGATATGGGTACATTTTCTGTTTCAGGGTTGAGAATGTTACAATAGCTCAAAAGCTCGCCTGGGAATAAAATAGGAAAACAAGCACTGTGTTGGTCCACAGAAGCAGTCTCCCATCCATTGTCTATTGAGCAGCTCCAAACTTTGTACCCTATGACATCATAAGTTTGAGACTTGCTATTCTGGTTTCTGGCTTAGAGAGAGCAGTTTGTGTGCACAAATATTGACTGACCTTTCATCTGGCATGGAAATAACATTGTGAAATACTTAATTTAGGTGGTGTTCCTGTTTAACACTTGGAGAGATCTTTACAGTGCCAGCCTCAAGATGCTTCCTGCGAAGAGACTAATCTCTCAGTGTTAAGATGGGGGTTTGGCCCATGGTGACACAGTGGTTAATATGCCCCTGTCCCAACTTTTTTGGAATGTGTTGCAGGCATCAAATTCAGAATGTATGTACATTCACTAAAGAAAACAAAAATCATTGCATTTTGTTTTTATCTATATTTTAAACAACTTTTTGTAATCAGATTGAAAGATTTTTGCATTATCGTGATGAGTCTTCATTTTCAGATTATTTCATTGATAAACTTATGTACAGTAGCTTTTCCAGGTTTGTGGTGGTTTGCAGTAATCAACACTTCACAAGTGACAATAGCTTTTATCTCTATTCTCCAAAAACCTCCCAGTCATTATCACAATAGAAAACGCCCCACTGCTTCGAACACAATCCCTGAGTCACTCAGTGTAAACTGGGAACAACTCCTTCACAACGACTTTGATTAGCAAGTATCACACAGAGGTTTTGATGAGTGTATAATGGCCTTGGTGTGGCCTGGCTATCATATGAAAGAGAATTCCTGTCTGTCTAATGTGTGTGACTATTTCCTGTCGAACAACTATGAAAAAGATCAATTGAGGCTGGGAGGGGCTGATGCTCATCCAGAGGACAACTCCCCACACCCTGCTGTTGTTGATCAATGACAATAATCCTTCACACCCTTTGAATTCACACTTTGAGCTTTTACTCACAAATAGGAGCCTTCAGAAATATGTAGGCTACATCTAGTCTTTCGTGCCAAATCCATTTAGAATATTGAGTTATTCATTCTACATACCATGTATTCAACAGATAAAGAGCAGCTAATCCTAACTGGGTTTTTTTTTGCTCAGTGAATTACTTGAAATAGTAATTGATGATATACATATATATATATATATATATATATATATATATATATATATACAGTACAGGCCAAAAGTTTGGACACACCTTCTCATTCAATGCGTTTTCTTTATTTTCATGACTATTTACATTGTAGATTCTCACTGAAGGCATCAAAACTATGAATGAACACATGTGGAGTTATGTACTTAACAAAAAAAGGTGAAATAACTGAAAACATGTTTTATATTCTAGTTTCTTCAAAATAGCCACCCTTTGCTCTGATTACTGCTTTGCACACTCTTGGCATTCTCTCCATGAGCTTCAAGAGGTAGTCACCTGAAATGGTTTTCCAACAGTCTTGAAGGAGTTCCCAGAGGTGTTTAGCACTTGTTGGCCCCTTTGCCTTCACTCTGCGGTCCAGCTCACCCCAAACCATCTGGATTGGGTTCAGGTCCGGTGACTGTGGAGGCCAGGTCATCTGCCGCAGCACTCCATCACTCTCCTTCTTGGTCAAATAGCCCTTACACAGCCTGGAGGTGTGTTTGGGGTCATTGTCCTGTTGAAAAATAAATGATCGTCCAACTAAACGCAAACCGGATGGGATGGCATGTCGCTGCAGGATGCTGTGGTAGCCATGCTGGTTCAGTGTGCCTTCAATTTTGAATAAATCCCCAACAGTGTCACCAGCAAAACACCCCCACACCATCACACCTCCTCCTCCATGCTTCACAGTGGGAACCAGGCATGTGGAATCCATCCGTTCACCTTTTCTGCGTCTCACAAAGACACGGCGGTTGGAACCAAAGATCTCAAATTTGGACTCATCAGACCAAAGCACAGATTTCCACTGGTCTAATGTCCATTCCTTGTGTTTCTTGGCCCAAACAAATCTCTTCTGCTTGTTGCCTCTCCTTAGCAGTGGTTTCCTAGCAGCTATTTGACCATGAAGGCCTGATTGGCGCAGTCTCCTCTTAACAGTTGTTCTAGAGATGGGTCTGCTGCTAGAACTCTGTGTGGCATTCATCTGGTCTCTGATCTGAGCTGCTGTTAACTTGCCATTTCTGAGGCTGGTGACTCGGATGAACTTATCCTCAGAAGCAGAGGTGACTCTTGGTCTTCCTTTCCTGGTTCGGTCCTCATGTGTGCCAGTTTTGTTGTAGCGCTTGATGGTTTTTGCGACTCCACTTTGGGACACATTTAAAGTTTTTGCAATTTTCCGGACTGACTGACCTTCATTTCTTAAAGTAATGATGGCCACTCGTTTTTCTTTAGTTAGCTGATTGGTTCTTGCCATAATATGAATTTTAACAGTTGTCCAATAGGGCTGTCGGTTGTGTATTAACCTGACTTCTGCACAACACAACTGATGGTCCCAACCCCATTGATAAAGCAAGAAATTCCACTAATTAACCCTGATAAGGCACACCTGTGAAGTGGAAACCATTTCAGGTGACTACCTCTTGAAGCTCATCGAGAGAATGCCAAGAGTGTGCAAAGCAGTAATCAGAGCAAAGGGTGGCTATTTTGAAGAAACTAGAATATAAAACATGTTTTCAGTTATTTCACCTTTTTTTGTTAAGTACATAACTCCACATGTGTTCATTCATAGTTTTGATGCCTTCAGTGAGAATCTACAATGTAAATAGTCATGAAAATAAAGAAAACGCATTGAATGAGAAGGTGTGTCCAAACTTTTGGCCTGTACTGTATATATATATATATATATATATATATATTTGTTGATTGACTAATTGTTTCAGCACTGTTTCAAAGGTGGACGCATTACTGTGGTCAGAGAGGAAACACCCGAGTCACAGGCCTTTGTTGTATGACCCCGATATAATACCAGGAATTTAATATACAAGAAACCCAGTCTGGAAGTAGTTTATCACTTCCTTCTTTACATAAATTTGACATTTATGTATTTACTGGAAACCACATCCCATTTCAATTTCTGTGGTAACAACCAGGTAAACAGAATTCAACAAAAGGGACAGTCCTTGACAAGGTCTATGGAAGGACTCCAGGTTAAAAAGAATTTTCCATCAGGCTTGTCATACTTCATATTGGTGTTTTTCTGAATTCAGAATAGAAAGTACTTCCTGTAACCACTGTAAGAACAAAGGGGGTTTATTTGACTTCCAGTTAAAGAGGAAAAAAAGTATAACATCTTACTGGTTTCTAGGTGGTGGGTGGGGTAATGCGGG